TCACTCCCAACATAGAAGCATTTGTATTTCACAAAAACATATAAGAGAAAGTTTCACAACAAACAAGATACACTACACACTAAATCAGACAACAAAACACACCAACGTTACACTATTCGCCACACACACACACACACACACACACACAGGATCGGGCTGAAACCTACCAGCGGGAGACTAGTAGCGCAAGCAATGAGCATCCATGGGAAACACCCCAAAAGGCTTAATCTACTTAAAGAAAGAGACAAAAAAACACAGCACTCAATTAACGTGATGCCAGTGTATCAGACATTCAATACAAAGACATTTACAACAAGGGAAGGTATGCGAAATCCAACTGAGTCCGACAAGCCACAATGGAACGGGCCAGACACTCGCTAGCTTAGGCTAGCCACGGATCCCATAATCATCAGTCCCGTGAAACGAGCAGCCGGGTATGGCGAAGGAAGCCCGTGAGCAACACGTAACAAAAAATGGTTAAACAAAGCAGCAGGTGTTCACGCCGATGCCGCCGACTCGCAGCTGTACCCCCGGTCAAATAGCACTCCCTGAAATACACATGATGTCTATTCACAACCGTATCCCACATTAACCATTCAACGGACACACAGTATAGCAACCCACCTATACTTTAATAGCGTTGAGTCACGGCCCCAAGCTCTGCTTACTGCCAGCCGGGCCAACACTCAGCTGGTGAAAAGGGCTGCTGCAACACCGGGGATTCTACAGCACAAAAACTACTATAAGCCCAAGTTATAAAGTCATTCGAGTGAACAGAGAAAACAAAGCCAATCATACCTGCGGCACTACGGTAAAACGGATAGCCCCGACTCAGACGTCAGGTTGCTGGGCAGGTAACCAAGACAAAAAGTCGCATGCTGGTGACATCAGACGTCAAAAGAAAAGTCCCGATTTATAAAAGGGCTTAGTCCTTGCGATTGGCTTACCCTTAACTGCCCAGTACCAATCCCAGCCCAACAAGTTTAATACCAATAGGGGAGGCTTAAACCAGACAGCTGCATCCTGCTACATACTCAAACATATAACTTTATTAAACATTAGACAATAATATACTGGTTGGCAATCAGAGCAAGCAAATGTTCCCTGTAGGTAACAGTGAACGAAGTTCTAGAACTAAAAAAAAAGTCACAGTGAATAAAGTCTCATAGTAGATGAGTTACAGTGTATAAAGTATCATATTACATAGGCTAAAGTGAATAACAATTCACAAATAACAAATTTGAGGGAGTCTGGCTCCTGCGCTCCTTCCGCCCTTGACCTCAGCGTGGACCATTGGCCATTCGGCCTCGCCAGACTCACTCGGCACGTTGGCTCCACCTGGGTCCGACATCGTGTTGCCTCCGCTGCGGACCGTCCACCGCTCGCTGGTCCTACACCCCTTCGGCTACAGCTTTCTCCGCCCTACCTCAGGCTCCACCTCCGCCGTTGGTCGCTCCAACTCGGCCTCAGACCTCCAGACCCCCACCTCGCTCTCGGGAGGTCGTCCGCCTGCAGCTCTGCCGCCTAGATCTTCGCCATCTCTCCACCACCTCGGCTCATCGGTTGTGCGGTTGGCTCCATCCTCACCGTCATTGTCTCCAGTCAACCCTCTGGTGGCCCTCACCAGCATTCCTCCATGGCTCCTCCCTCCATCAACGTCGCTGTGTCGCACTCGCCTGGATGAAGAACCATCATCCCCTAATCAAGGTCATCCCTTGGCTCACTCCACCATCAGCACTAACCTGGACTTTGTTGTTCGTCCTCCTCCCGGTCGTCCGTCCAGCTCCAGAGCCTCCTCTTTCCTGTCTGTGACATCCCCTCATCCTCTTCACATCCTCTTCTCCACGGCGCAAGGTCGTGCCTACCCGGAGGAGGCGTTCTGTAACAATCACGTCAGTGTGGACTTGTTATGTTTCGTCATCGTCTGCCTTCGTCACTGATTTGTTGTCACAGACACTAATTGTGTTTAGATGTGCACTTATCAATCACCCTCATTATAACCTGTATATATGTTCAGTTCTGTTTCAGGTCAGTTTCCGGTGTCGTCAGTTTTGGATGTTTTGTGTTTGGTCTGTTTTGTGGAATACCCTGTTGGATTGATTAAATGTTAACTGATTGCCTTCATCTTCTCCGTGCTTGTTACTACAACCATAGATATCCATAATAAAGGCTAGATGTCTCGTCCGCGCTGCTGGCCAATGGAGGTCGACGTCCGCACCTGGCGGCCATCTTGTCACAGGCAGCTCGCTCACTCATAACATTGTGTTTTAATGGTGCATGTACTTTTTAAATAACCATAACTTGCTCGATTTTCTACCGATTTTCAAATGGTTTGGTTTGTTACAAATGTCAGAGATGTAGTTATGACACTGCACACTTATGAATAATAAGTGTATCAATAAATAATCATCCAGAATTATAGCCACGTTAATAACGTATGTAAGAAACCAAACCGTTTGTAAATCCGTCAAGATTTTAACGAGATAAGAGTATTTGTGTTCGTGCTGATCACTCATCTTACATCAGGCACCACAGAGCCCGCCAGAAAGCTTGCCTGTGACAAGATGGCCGCCGGTGATGACGATAGAGACTCCGCTGTAGGACATCTAGCCTTTATTATGGATACCTATGACTACAACCACCACCGTGACAATAATAGCCTATATAAATTTGCAATCGTTTTATTATATAACACTGGGGTATACATACACAAGGGGTGATTGGCAAACACACACCTGCGAACAATCAACGAACTAATTAACAAGAAAAACTACAAAGGACTACAAAACATGCCGCAAAACACGAAATAACATAAGTCCACACAAGACGGGTCTCATGACAATATACTAAATCCAGACTAAAAACCAAATGAAAACTGAAACAGAATGTCTACGTTCTAATTAGGATGCATTTCAAAATATTTCATTTCAGAGATGTGCAAATAAAAGAAGTTTAATCATGTCATGTCTACACTGTCCTGTCTAAGGCCTCTTGACCTGTAGAAGACCTTTTAGTAACTAAGTAACTAAATTACATTTTACAAGAACCAGATTAATTAATATGTATATAAATCAATACATTTTAATATTGCTTTATTGTTCTAGTGACTATCTTTAATCAAATTGTCATGTTAGTCATATGTCTGCTGGGGGGTTAGACACTTCCTTTATCTTAAAAATCCATTGTCCACAAATTTGCATGTGAATTTTTTGTTGTTTATTATAGGTTTGATTACTGAGAAAATAAACTGTTAGAAAAGGTAATGCAAACTTAATGAAACAACTTTGGCTGACAAACAAACGGAAGGCAATGTCTAAAGAAGACCATGTACTCCCAGCAAGCCACACCCAGGCCTTTAAGGTCTATTGTACTTCTACTTCTGTCCTGCAGAGGGTGCACATCTCAAGAAAACAAAGAATAACAAAAATTATCCTTCAAATAAGGCAAATAAATGGCTCCTACAGTTATGTACAGCTGGTGCTGATATATGACACCAAGTTTCAAATTTTGTTTTACAGCTACCAGTTACCCCACATTTACAGGATGGTTCATTGGATCTCTTCCCATTATAATTTGAAGTAGTAACATAGCACTTTTGTATAAGCGGCCCAAGCTCGAACCTGACTTCTGTCAGCCTCCACTTTTCTCCCTAGCATTTTCTGTCATTTCTGTATACTATCCTGTGTTAGTGTGTTTCATCCCAGTTAAGATATATGCCAGTCCCACACTGAGTATCTCCCCTACAGACTATCACAGCCAATCCCCCTTTGAAAGGTGGCAGCTGATATTACTGAACATCCTGTGACACCATCAGGAAATAAATATGTCCTCGTTCTCCAAAACTATTTCACTAAGTATGTAAAATTGTTCCCTATGAAAGATTAGAGAGCTGTAACGGAACAGTATGTCACAGAGCATGGTGTTCCTGAACGTCATCATACACATCGAGGCTGCCAGTTTTAGGCAGATCTAATCAAGGACTCCTTATCCTGAGGGAAATGGTTTAATCAAAAGATTCAATCGCAAAATTCACTTTTACATTGTGTTTGAAACTGTGTGAAAATTGTGATGTGGGTTGTGGGGGTGTGTACACAACAACCCTATAATGGTAAAAATCCAGCCCCTCCTTTTTTTATATTCCCCATGGGCCATGACTCATAAACTGTCTCAAAACGAGTAATTTGCAATTTATATACACGGTGACGTAACACTCCTGTTAGATCAGCAAAAAGACCAAATAGAACCTCATACAATGTGACAGACTTGGTTTGGTTGAATGATCCTGCTCATTCCCTTATGTAAACTGGCCCCACGCTGGAAATAACCCTACATTGTAACACAAACTGTTCAGCCTACTGATGGTCCAAAAAGGGCAGAGTCTAACTAAAAATGTACTGTATGTTGTGAAGTCAATATCTTAATACCAATATATTATGTTTTGTTTTGCGTAATCTCATTAATCCTGCTGAGCAAATTAAAAGTCACCATATAATGGAAGTTATGGCCTACTTGACATCTGTATTGTGACATATTTCCGAGTGAAACCACTTTTCTAATGTGAAAAACTATCGAGCGGGACTTGACTCGGGAGGACTTCGCTGCGTTTGCGGAGTGGGTGCTGGTGAACTGCAAATCTTTGTTTGAGGAGCTGTACAGTATACTGTACAGTATTTTCACAATTTAATATTTTCAAATGCATTCAGTCTAATCAGAACATAGAAAAAGATGGCGCAGTTGTCCATCTGTTTCCGTTGATTAGTCTGCTATTTAGTCTCCTCTGTTTCGTTGATTATTTTCTCATGTCATGCTAGCAAGTCACTCTAGTCCAGTGGTTTTCAATCCTGTTGGTTCCCTTTGGACCCACTTGGTGACCTGAGCCAGGAGATGAGTGGTGAGTAAGAAGATCAGTGCAGCATGATTAATGCCAGTTTCTCATTCCAGTAATTGGCATGGAGCGACAGGATAAAAGCCACTGAGCAACTGGGGAAGGTGAGAGAGAACTTGGTGAACTCGTGTCTGTGTGCATCTCTGTGGAGAACAAAGCCAAAGGAACTGTTAAATTGAAGGGTCAGTGTTTTGTTTTGTTGAGAGAACTGTTGGAAAAAAAAGTACACCTCTGTCTTCTCCTTGCCCTGAAGAACTAGCACAACAATTATGAGGAGTTTCACTGCAGCATTTTTTAATTCTAAACTTCTGTATACGGCACGTGTGACAGCATTGAAAGAAATAAACTGTGTGAGCAACCTGATATCCTTAAGGTAAGTCATTTGATTTGTATAAATTCACTGTTGAACACATTTCATCTTAGAGTCAAACCCACTAAATACTATCATACAACTTTAACTCATATCACTTTAAGGGTTTTTACCTACGGTAAAGGCCATGGCTACCATTTAACATCTAATTTTTGCACATATAATTGTATATGCCAGTTTCTAAATGGACACTAACACAATGATCAGATTCAGAGTCTGATATCTAAAACACCTATGATCAGAGTATATGGCACCATTTACATTCAATTGATCCGAATGGCCACATTGTTTTGTGATCAGATTACTCCTAAAACACATTTGGAGGTGGCATGTGACCAAATTGCCGTTAATAGATTGAACCATAATCTTGCAGAAGATAAATTACATAAAGTAGAGATGTGGGAAGCATGTTCTTATCATTTTTTTGCATAATTATCTCTTGATCTTCAGCAAACGAGTAATACTGCTTAACCCAGTTGGAAACTAAATAAGATTGGATTTATTAGATATCGTAAACCTGACACCTAAACCTGAGATAAAGAATTCAAATTCTTTTGGAATAGTATTCTCCGGATATCATGCATATTCCTTATAAACACAAACTAAACCAGAAGTAACTTTCAGATTGGTGGTATTTTCAGAAGTTTCTTTGGTGGAAGTGAAAAAAGGTAAGTTTATAGTGACTGTTTCAATCTCTCCTGTAATCTCTGTATAGGACTGTGAGCACTCAGAAGAGGACATGTCCACTATTCTCTGTCCATCCCAGTCGAGGGCTGGTGGATGAGAAGTTTCGGATTGTTGTAACAAATTTACCGCCAAGTCAAAAGGTCACACTACACTCTCTACTTCAAACAGAGGATAAGGACTTCTGGGAGGCGTTTGGACACTACATCAGTGATGAACACGGAACAGTTACAGGTGCGTGGTAGTCTAAATGCACGACTTGCAAAAGTTACAATGGTACCCACAGTTTCACTGAAATACTATGGTTACAACAGTTATTGTTACTGTTAGAATGAAAAGGTGCAGATGACACACAGCTCAAATCTCTATTACTTTGAGTTACTGAAACCTCTCATGAGACGTGTACAGAGCAGAGCATCTCTCACACTGGCTGTTTCTCAAATAACAAACTTGCGATCTCGTGGAGACCAGTCCTGCCAGGCAACCTTGAAATAACAAATTCGGAAGGATGCTGGGACACAAAATGCATCCTTGTGAGAATTGAGATGTGATGCTATCTTGTTGCTCAACTGACCTTCCCAGCATATTGTCACGATCCACACTCAAGTACCACAGAAGATCCAATAATGCAGCAAGTTTTTAATAGGGAAATCCGTTACTCACAAAACCAGGGCCGGCCCGTGGCATAGGCAGTATAGGCAAATGCTAAGGGCGCAAGCGCCTTAAACCCTAGGGGGAGCGCCAGAGCCGCGTAAGGAACTTTCCGCTTTTATTGTACTTTATTAACACTGCAACGAGTGGAGCAATTACATAAGCCTGCCAGTGGCGCAAAAAGTAGGTATACCGGTATGTGTAGCGGAGTAGGCGCCCTCATAAGATTTCATCATAGAATTTTGACAGGGGACCCCCCTCCAATAATATCGCGAGCGGGCGCGGGCGCCGTGAGCGCTGAGCGAACAGGCACGAGTAGTGAGTTGTCGTCGAAAAAGATAGATAAAGCAAAAAAGCGGCCGGGGGCTAAAATAGAAATAGCCCATTCGTTTTGTTTTGCTTAATCGGCGGCGCTGGGTTAGTGCTGGTGTATTGCATTGGTAAAAAAAAAAGCTTTTTTTCTGACACCGCATGAAACGCGTAGATCAGCGGCCCATTGGTTGTTTTCTTGATTGACACTGGGCTGGCCCAATCACATCTTTAATGTGAAGTACAGAAAAATACTCTTTCTATTAGTATAGAAATTAGTACAAAACTTATGAAAGTTTCCTTTATTTTTCAGTGCATTGTTTTACAATGAGTATTATCATGGGATTAATATTATAACTATTATTATGTAATGTAGACAGACACTAACTAAAAGAGGTTTGAATTTTTCTTTGTTTAATTTGAACACTGAATATGGGTTGGAGCTTTTAATTTTGAACTCTCAAAGTGCACCAGATTGATGAATTTAACATTAAAATGCACAAAATTTTCTTACGGGGGATCAGGCCGCCCAAGCCTGCGGGTGCTCCATGGTGTTTTTCTGTTGTGGGAGAGCGTGCGCTCTGGCTTAACCTGTCGGGTTTCCCTGAAAGTGAGGGCTCTCTTTGGCCCCATCGTCGTATTGATTCAGCAACGATGCGACGACAAGGAGGAGGATGAGGCCTTCAAGTTATGCCTACCCAGGAAGGCGGCCCCACGCCAGATGCCCCTCTACGTGTTTGCCTAGCCCTCCTGCTGCCCCAGAGCCCCTGTCCAAAAGACGGAGGGTTTCTCATTGATGGGTTGGCCACCCTCCTCTAAAGGATGCCCAGCCCATGTGTTCAGTGGACGTTGTGTGTTCTCCCCCCACGTTCAGGGGGTCCGTTGTGAGAAAAAGTGCACAAGCAGTGTCACCACACGCTCAAATTTTGTTCCCCCCCTCCCACTAAAAAAAGGCTTCTGCCCCTGTGTTCCCCAACACAAAACACACACGTAACCCAACAAACACATCAAAACAAACGAATCAAATGAATTTGTCTCTAAGAGAGAACCTTTCTGCAGAGAGTGATTTTTTCTCAAGAGAGCATCTCTATAAACCCCTGCATGCCATCCCTAGTTTGTCCACTAGAGAGTGCCATTTGGGAGGCGTTTATACTCGACGCGCTCGCCGTTGTACTATTCTGTGAAACGACAGGAGGTGACTCAAGTAATTGCCATCAGGAATCAACTGTGAGAAGAAGAAAGGTCCACACGTGACAATGTTTATTTTAGTACATCACCACCAATAACACTACAAAAAGAATTGTGTAAAATCCAGTAAACCCTGAGATTATTACTTGTGACATTAGAACAAAATATGTGGATATAAAAACTTGCATGGCTATATAACTAAATTAACGATCTCTTTAAAATGTTCTAATTTCACTAAACCCTAAAAGCCCCAGGCCTTAACTCACAACCAGCCATGTGCTCATTCAGGAGAGAGATGACTCTCTCAACCACAACAGAATCAAGGACAACATCAGGAGTTTGGCATGTCTTCATTCAATGCAGAAGAAGTCCATCGCAACTCCCACCATCAACTCTTCTGACTGCCTCCCTTCTCCTGTTTGCTCTGCGTGTCCTCTCCGGCCCAGGGCCGGCAGGCCACAATCTGCACTCCAGCCATGGGAACACAGTCAAACCAACCACGCAAGTTCATCGCCATTTCTTCTGTCAACGCCGAAGAAATCGATTGAGACTCAATTTCCAATTTGGACAATCAAAAAATCCTTCTTCAGGAATTTTACACGAAATGTTTCGCTACAAAGGCCATGCAAGTATACATTTAATGAAGTCCTCTGAAAATGATAAGCTGATGGTTCTTTTCATAGTTAAATGGATCTTTTCCATAGTTCCATTTCCTGCTTCCGGTTTCATTATGTCACTCACCATTTTACCTATGCAAGTACCTATTACCTATGTATGTGTGTTTAGTTTAGTTATGTTTGTGATTTAGTAAATAAAACTTGTGCACAACTACTTATTTGGTTCTGATTCTCTGCTTGCAACAAGGTTTATTTTACGATCTTGATCTTGTTACATGCTCTAAGAGCTGTACATGCTAAGAAATTATTATTTTTCTGTGGCCATGGAAGATACCCTTTTTCTTAGAATAAATGAATAACCAAAAGAGTTTGTTGGACGAACTGATTAATTGATTGTAATATTAATTTAGCTACACCAAGTAAATCCAATTAACTGACCCAAATATTCATAATTAATCAAAACAAGTTATGATCGATTAATAATATTTCTCCTTTGAGCTAACTCGTTACACACATTTCTACAGATTTAGAATTCACAGTATATTTCTTGAGCGAACAATGATCAAGACATTAATGATGTGGATCTGCCCTATTATATATACCTTAGGGACCAAAGATGAAAGTTTGGGAGGCACTTATGAAGGAGCAGAGCCAATGGGGTTGCTGTGGAGCATGAGACCCGTACCAGGAGGTCAACAAGGACTCAGGTAGATTAGACTAGAACAATATGATTGTGTGTGCTTTTTATTACCAAGTTTAAATTCAAGTTTCTTTTTTATTTGAGGGGTTTGATACTCTCTTTTGTTACCTACATACTCTTTACTCCAGAATACGCAAGAGGGATGTTCTTACACCGATGGTAGTTCACATTTCAGTATACAGTGGGCATCTATCTCAAGGCTTCAGCCAGAAACCACCCCTGGCAACGAGTGTCATAGAGCGCTGGCATATAGCACCAGGTGTGAAAAGGATAAACATCAGTGAGAAAGAAGTACAAGGAACACTATTCCTACCTCCAGGTACACACACACTCACACTCACACACACACACACACACACACGCACACACACACACACACACACACACACACACACACACATTAAATAACAGATTTCTAATCAGGGGTCAAATCTATTAGATCTTTCATGATCATTGCTTGTGTGTAAAAATTACTTGCTGTGTGTTTTTAGGCCCTGGGCCGTACCCAGGAGTGCTGGACCTGTGGGGAGCAGGCGGTGGTTTGGTCGAATACCGCTCTGCCCTGCTTGCATCTCATGGCTTTGCATCCATGGCACTTGATTACTTCGCTCCAAAAGAGATGAGATTGCAAGATGTTGATATTTCTTACTTTGAGGTAATTTAGAACTTTTGACAGTCTCCTAATGAGGATCAACCTTGGCATTACATTGATGTGATCTGGCATTATTAGTTGCCTGTGTTTCCAGAGGAGACGCTCAAAATAAATTATTGCCCATCAAAGCAAATGTGATAATATTAGGTACTCACTGATTTGCCACAACATTGTACAAAAAGGTTAAGTCAATAACATTGATTATATCATTACAATGGCACCTGTCAAGGGGTTGTATTAATTAGGCAGCAAGTGAAAGGTCAGCCCTGCTGAAGAAAAGTTTTTTTTTTGGACACTTCTTTAGATGGTCAGGCTAGGAGACCAGCCAACCAGCTTTATTCAACAGGGACTTCTTGAATTTCATGTGTTGGAAGCAGGAAAAAGGGGCAAGTGAGAAGATCTGAGTGATTTTTACAAGGGCCATGTAGAAAGATTGGACATTACGCTAAACTGTGCCAATCAACACAATCAAACATGCGCGAGGTACTGTACACAGAATATTCAGCTCGTCAATATTCTGGCTCACAGACTTGTGTGCTGGATTTAGTGGTTGACACTGGGTCTTTCGTATCTATTCTGCCCTACAGCACTTATCCATGCCATTTCAGAAACGTTGTGCTGTCGTGACCCACAGCCAGACATGTGACGTATTCTAAACCCCAAATCCGGTGGTTGGGTGTTTGTCAGCGAGCACTTTCCTTACATGACCGCTCAGATACTGCTATGTTCTACATTATGGACAAAGGGACACCACTCATGAGGATTGAAAACAATCAAGTCCTGCCTCTTAATGCTTTATCTGTGCGTGGACCATGGTTGACCTTCTTCACCCAAGGAACTGGAAGTTGAGTTGCTGCCATATGCTATAAACAACGTCTGGAACTGTCTGTTAAGTACATTTTTGTCCTCCGAGGCTCACGGCCGATTGCACCTGCTGCTCTTTGTTCTGTGCTGTTCTCCATAGCGCATAAAGGACATCAGGCGAGGTGAGAATCAAACAATGCCTTTGTGATCTCTACTGGTGGCCAGAGATGGATGCTCAGGTTAATGTTGCAGTTCGTTCCTGCCACATGTGTCAGCTCAATGACAAAACTGTCAAGTCACACCCTGCTCTTCTCCAGCCAGTGCTGCTGGCTGGAGATATATTTGGGCCATTTGACAGTGCTGCATCCGACTGCAGGTTTGCAATAACTTTAACTGATTATTACATCAAATGGCTTGAGATCTCTTTTACTCACACTGTCATAATGGATTCTGTGGTTTAACTTCTGTCATCAGTCTTTAGTCGCCATAGAAAACCATTGAGCATTTTTACTGATAACGGTGGTCAGTTTATATCTGCTGCTTTTGTTGCTTTTCTGGAAGGAAGGAATATTCGTCATCATCATTCCTCTCTTTACTTCCCGGCAGCTAATGGTGCTGTAGAGATATTCAATCGTGTGCTCAAACACAAATAGCCATCCAGCTACATGGAAACCTGCGGTAACTGACCTCTTGTTGTAGGTGTCACACATGCTGCAACTGGTACTTCACCCTTTCAGCATGGGGGTGGGTACATATGTTCTTAGTGATGGAAAGACACAGAATGCTTCCTATCTCACTGCATTTCCAGGCACACCAACAACTGCTCACTAGTCACTACACACACACTAATACCACTAGACCCAAACCTTATGTTCAGAAGACTAGGTGGTTAAATTACTATGTTACTAAAATCTGATGTTCTTAAAAAAGCGTGAATTATATTATGGTCCCAATCCCTTCTCTCCTATCCAATTGTTTCCTGTCTCTCACTGAACTATCCTATCAAAGGCAGAAAGTTAAAATATATTCATATATAAACATTTTCTCTAAGTGGTGGAACAAACCTCCAACCTTCACCCAAAAAGCAGAATCCATTGGGTTTGAGTATATGCAAACCTAAATTGGGTTGTGTGATGAACAGTTGATTAATCTTTACAGATGTGTGCGTTTAAATTTGTGTTTACATGTTTCCTGTAGAAAGCATACCAGATCCTGAAGAATCATCCATTGGTACAGCCGGATCAACTGGCTGTGCTTGGGCTGTCTTTTGGAAGTATAATCACACTCAGTATTGTGGCCTACTCCAATGTCATCAAGGTTTGCTTGCCCTACACCAGTGGTCTCCAACCTTGTTCCTGGAGAACAACTGTCCTGCAGACATCAGTTCCAACCCTGCTGCGACACATCTGTCTGTGATTTTCAAGTAACCCTGAACACCTTGATTGGCTGGTTTAGGTGTGTTTCATTGGAGATAAATCTGAACACTGTAGGACAGTAGCTCTGCAGGAGAATGGTTGGAGACCCACACACATGAATCTACATTTTGAATGCAGATATATTTTTCTTGTATTACATTGGTATGTTGATCAGTCTCTATTTATTGTCTTTTAGCCCCAGTGCTGTGTGTCTATTAACGGAAGTCACCTGATTCCTTTTGACAAAAACCTCTTTGAACTCATTGAGGAGATGAAAAAGTGAGACACAGAAAACAGAAAATATGTTATGGTGTTATAAAGTGTTTTTTGCAATTTTTGTTATTCAGTGTGGTCCCAAAATTTGAGCACTTAATTCACACTTAAAAGTGTAAGAACTTGACAAGTACTGCATCTCTGTCATTGGCTTTCATAGAACTACAGTTACATTCATAACTACCATTTTATTTTATGCCTCCTGACTGTCAGTGAGGCATTTGGATGACCACATACCAGCATAGGAAAGAGTGAAAGATACACGTCCATCAGGAAAGAAAACTATACTTGGGAGAACTGGAAGAACAAAAACTGTATATGACGCATAAGAAATTCTGTAGAAACTAAAGTGGATGGGGATGACCAGGTAGCCTCTGCACATATATCATTAAGTGGGACCCACACTTAATGATATATGTAACTATCCACTGCCTTATAGGTACGTACATTTACTTTATTTCCCAAATGAGAGACTTCCCACTGTGAATGTGGTACACCAACCGTGTGACATTGTTGATCTGTAGAGTTTCTGTATATTTATAAACAAATATACATCATATTTTATATCCACTGTATGTGCCTTCCAAGCTCTCAACCCTATATAAATATTTGTATATTTGTTAGTAGTACCAGAGACTATTTATATAGAGACATGCCACTTCATCAATCCTTAAAGGTGCTCTAAGCGATGTCACGCGTTTTTTAGGCCAAAACATTTTTTGTCACATACAGCAAACATCTCCTCACTATCCGCTGGCTGCCTGTCCCCTGAACACACTGTAAAAAAACGCGATCTCTGTAGACAGCCCAGGCTCAACAAACAGCAACAAAAACAAACTGCGGCGACCCGCTCCACGAAACATAACAAACTGTTCCAGCCAATGACCGATAAGAAGGGTTTGGGGGTGTGGTTTGGGGGGTTAGTGTGCGGATGAGGAGGAGGGAGGGTCTAGCTAGCCTCCGTTTTGTTTGACAATAGTTTGAACGTCAACAAGAAGTGACGTCACCCAGGATCGCTTAGAGAACCTTTAATACAACTATATAGGGAAAACCCGTAACACCAAATATGGCGGTTGTGTGCACATGTCCCGCCCCTCCCGCTGGAAAGCCAATCGTCTGCTTTTAACAGTCAAGCCGGAAAACATTTAAGCCTATCGTCTGGTTCCACTGACGCATGCGCACAGTTGAGGTTTGCGACAGCGCAAAATACGTTACTGTTTGAAAAGGCGGCAGATTTGATATGCAGTGTATGTGTGAGTTGTGTAATATCAGATGTGGTGAGCAGGATGGCCAAAGGACGTGAGAGAACGTTGCGAGGCCGGTGGTGCGATTGCTAATGAGCAGCACCTGTGAAGCACACCGGTCTCGCATCTCTCACGGAGGAGCGGAAGCATAAAGGGGGAGCGATGGAGTGGATGATCGAGAGAGGAACAGGCCTGCTTTTGTTTGTGTTTTGTTTTATTTTATTTTGGTAGCCAGCAGTCGTCCGTGAGGGGCTGCTGGCAGGTAGTTATATTTTATTTTGGGTAGCCAGCAGTTCCGTGAGGGACTGCTGGCAGGTATTGTGTTTATTTCATTTAAATAAAGTTTTATTTTGATTGTCCGCCGGTTCCCGCCTCCTTCCCTGAACCTTGCTACATCAGACATCAGAAGTCTCCCGCAGATTGATAGCGGCTCCCTGATGCCCGCAAATTAGTTCAAATCTCCCGGAATCTAGAGCGAGCGAGCAAGAGCTCGCACATACTGTGCTTCAAACTGTGTAACGCACGCACGACAGAGGGAGAGAACCCTTGTGCATGCGTAGTAAAAGTATAACCTGTGGGGAAAAAGGCGTTTTAAACCTTATTTTGGGGCAAAGTCATCAAACTTTTTCAGCGATTTTTATCATATTTTACTGCTGTTTCAATACATGCCGTTTTTATGTCCCGGTGACCAGTGAAACTGCAGTTCTGACTCTCTGCCCATTCATTTAGAAAGGAGCCTTGTCTTGTTAGTCCGAAATAGCTGCCCGGAGGCGTTGCCAAGATGGCGGCCGAGTGGCATGACTTGCCTAAAAGGACTTTGGTAGTACCCACACAAGCTAGACCAAGTAAATTGAAGAAAAAGTTTTAGATGACCAGTTTTATTGGGCTACAAGTGATGCCAGAAAAGTCTAGCTTACACCTGAGACAGCACGGACAGACATGCATTTCTGTGTGAAGGTGCCACACTTTTCAACCCAACTGATAAAAAGCAATTATGTTCTGTCAGAAAGAGGACAAGGGGTTCCCCTCACGAATGAATGGAGTAAGACAAACCAAGGCCTGGCTGGCAACCGTGGGGCCACTCGAACTCCGGTGTAAAACTCATGCAGAGTTTAGCTTCAACCCTAATTAAACGCATCTTAAACAGCAGGGTTGGAACTAAACTTTGTAGGACTGTTTTTGTAATTACATTTTTGTAAAACACTTTTTCTTTAAAATAAATGCCAATTTCATTTTTTAGGTTTGACTTAAGTGTTCAGATTTATTATGGGGCCACAGTATGACAATTCAATGTGAACTGAAATAATTGTAATCATTTGCTCAATTTTTAAACAACAGTAATATCGAGTAAATTTGTTCAATGTAGATATTTTAATAATGACAAGCACTAAAAATTGTATTCCAGGAATGTAGATAAACTACGTGTGAATGAGGAAAACCAGGTAGTTCACAGAGATGTTATCTTAACCACTCCCCCAGACGCACCAGTCAAAGTAGATGTGAGTATATGTTGATATTATGGATACGTTGATATATAGTCTGTTTTACTTATTTTTATTTTCTTGTGATGTTAATTGTCTGTTTTTATTTAAATGCACACAGGTTGGGAGAATAAAGTGTCCACTTCTGTTGGTGACTGCTGTTGATGATCAGGCTTTTCCTGCAGTTGAATCTGCTGAAGATGTGAGTTACATTTCTTATGTATTATTATATTATCTGCTGTTAAGATAATAACTGTATGAAACTGTTGTAGTAACTTTTTGAAACTGTTGTCAAATTGCCTGAATTTGGATAACATGCAAAAAAGTTTTTTGAAGGTTAAACAACAGAAATGTTGTCGCCATTGACAGAAATGTCCTGCAAACCATGTTTCCACTGTTATATTTCCACAGTAGGGGGTGTTATTACTTATCTTCTAAAAGAGAACAGAATCTCTGGATCAAAACACAGAAGCAGAAAGGGTAACATTTTAGAATACTGTTTCTTACTTACTGCTTAACTAATAGGGAATTGACCGTTTGCAGGCCCCTCCCACAAAACGGCCATTGTCCAATCACACATCATAGGAACCGTTACTATGGCCCTCATTTATCATTCTTGCGTTGAAACGGGCGTATATGTTGGCGTAAGATTATGCTTACACTCCTCTCACCGCCTGATTTATGAAGCTGTGCGTACCTTTGAAATCCAGGTGTACACAATACCTGCCCTTGATAAATCCCACGGCTGAAAACAATCGTCATTAGAATAACACGCCCCTATATATTCAAGTCTCTGCTTCCCCCACGCCCTCATTTTACGCCATGTACACACGGAAGACGGCACAGAAGAGAAACTTCTCCGACGTGGAGCCGAAATGACCTATCACAATGCATTATTTTACAGCACGTCTTTTGAAACAATTAGCATTCAATTTCGAATCACGTCACATGTATTGGGGTGTACAATAGTGATGATGATGATGTGATGTGGAGTACCATTCATTCACATTAATAATTGCATGACAATTTGTAATATTCTTCTTATTATTATGATTTTTATTATTAATGACGCCTATTGTTATTTAGAAGAAGAACGTCGTTATTATTATTTGTATTATTATTATTATTTAAAAGAAGAAGAATGTATTTTTTATTATTTTGTCAGTCTGAATTATTTTTTGGTCATTGAAAGCCTTTCATTACCGAACCCAGTCCGTGCGCGCCTGCCGGCCTAACCATGAAACGTCAGGGTAAAGCGCACAGGCTCGCAACTGAAGGAATACATATGGCTACAAATCAAATGCTTTGGTAAAGTCACACAAATTAAACATTGAAGTCCATGTTGCACAAAAATAAACACTGAAGTTTATAATTACTATGTTGTTGTTGTTGGTATATCATATATTTTAGTTTGTCATTGCGTTTATAGTGTTAGGAATTGTTTTTCTGCGCATTTCCGCACTAACTCAAAACGTGCGTACACCACCTCCTGAGCTGGCGTAGCATTTGAGCGTGCCATACGCCAACATCCATATTGATAAATCTCAAAGTCACCGTGGTTTTGGGTGTACGCCAGGTGTACGCTGGAAATGGTGTTTGTAAATCGGACACTAGGTACGTTACCCCGAGAGATTGTCTGGAGGAGTTGTGTTCTTTCCGTTTCCGAAAACACAACATGAGCGGTGCCTACAATGGACAAAACAGTGTGGACGGCCCCACTCCCAGTTAAAGGCACACTATGCAAGAATTGTACCTTAAAGGGGTCATATAATGCCATTGTTGTACAAGCTAGTATGATTCTTTAGGGTCTAAATTAAAAGTTTGTAATATACTTTAATTACAAATTCTCATTAGTATTGTAAGAAAACACTTATTTTACTTGGTCAAAAACAGCTCTGTTTTCAGCACGCCGTTTCAGTGCATATGACTTTAAATGATAATGAGCTTTGCTCACCCCGCCTCTCTGTTCTGTGCGTACACCGTTTGTAACACAATAACACAATAACCATAACGCGTTGTTCAGTATAAACGCGTTGTTCAGTATAAACGTGGGATTATGAATTATATTGAGAACATCGTGCATAGAAAACATGCCGTAATGTACCCTGAGTGTAAACCTTAGACGCATTCATCGTGAAGCGTGCAAGCGATTTGCAAAGATTCATATAAATATTAATATAAAGGTTAATAAAACGTTACACTCACTTCAGTTCTTCTGAAGGTTCAGCAGGAACACGAATAGTTGGTACCGATCCTTTTTTCATGAGCAGCTTCTTAGCAAAAACCTAAGTTCTTTACCCTGAGTGTAAACCTTAGACGCATTCATTGTGAAGCGTAAAGCTAGCGATTTGCAAAGATTAATATAAAAATGAATATAAAGTTTAATAAAACGTTACACTCACTTCAGTTCTTCTAAAGGTTCAGCAGGAACACGAATAGCTGGTACCGATCCTTTTTTCATGAGCAGCTTCTTAGCAAAACCAGCTTTATACTGACCCTCGTTTATAAAGCAGTCTGGTGAGAAATGATTCGCGCAAACATGAAAGCATTGACGTTGCTCGTGGGGAATATTCCCTTCGAAAACAAAACTCAGCCACTGCGTCTTCAGCGGTTCGGATTTAGGAACATTAAAATGACTGCTGTGTTCCTTATTGCACCCAAGAACAGAACACCACAATCGCTTAGACGCCATTTAGCTCATAGACAGTGCTCCAGCATATCAAAAATGACCGCGCCAGTCCGCGCGGACTATGATTGACGGGTCTGTGTTGAAACGCTGCTGTCAATCAACAATCGTGGGAGGGGCGTCCGACCGTGTGACGTCCTTATTGCACCCAAGAACAGAACACCACAATCGCTTAGACCCCATTCTGCTCATAGACAGTGCTCCAGCATATCAACAATGACCGCGCCGGTCCGCGCGGACTATGATTGACAGCTGGCTCACGAGCGAGGGCGGGTCTGTGTTGAAACGTGGCTGTCAATCAACAATCGTGGGAGGGGCTTCCGAGCGTGTGACGTCACAAGGTCGAACGGCTTGATTTGAGACAGGGGAAAACATATAAGGAGATTAAAACAAAACCACTGGATGGATTTGTATCATTTTATGATGGTTGTGTACAGACACTGCCAACACACATTTCAGTACAATCAACTTGTAAAAGTGCATGTACCATTATATGACCCCTTTAATATAACAGCTTCAAAGTAATTTCACTGGTAAACAAACTCATAGTAGGGCGAATCATTCTGGTAGTAAAGCTTGGGGGGGACGCCGCTGGAAAAACCAGCAATGCATGTTTGAGAGGAGTGCCCCCGACAAATCTCGCGAGAATCACGACATGCTTTACGGCAACAACGTCACACACATCAACAACAACATAAGCACGAAGACACTTGCGCGCATTTCAGACGTGATACTCGACGATGGAAAAAGCAAAGAAAACGCAGTCGGAAGAGACTAGGAAATGGAAAAGAGAATCTGACCGCGTGAGGAACCGGACAAGAGTCCCACTCGGTCGGGCTTTTCCATAGATGGGGCTTTTCACTTGTTTGCGCAAGCTAAAAAGCACCACTGGATGCTGACCTGGCGATCTTGTTGATGGACTAGTAGGTAAATCTTTCTTAGTTTGTGTGCATTTTATTTTGTGATTTCACCGGAATGAATCGAGTCTCCGCAACGGCGATAGATTGAAGAGCACGTCCGAGTGAAGACTGCCCGCGCGCCGCCACAAGAGACACTATGTATCCATGACACTGATAGCAGCGGACACGAGCGCTCAGGTTGAGTTCAAAAACACATCTCTTATTTAAAGGCACACTATGCAAAATTTGTACCTTAATTTAACAGCTTCGAAGGGGTATCAGGCCGTGAGTGCAGAGACGCTCTGCGTGAGTGGTATTTACGACAGTAACGCCACAGCGACTCTAGGGGTCGCTGTTTTACAAAAACGAAATTCCTGCATAGTGTGCCTTTAAATGTGTCGAACATGGTTAACTCGCATGCAGCGTGCGTGAGACTGAGACACTGAGATTAGTCAAAGAAACATGGAGAAAGCAGATCAAGAGGATCCACAACGGAATTACGTTTGTGTTAACATGATATTCTCGGGGGGAAATGAGCAGCAGTTAACTAGAGCAGTGCAGCAATCAGTAGAGGAGTGCACGCTCGCAACGGGGAAAGCATGAAGCTTACTTGACAACATCAGTTCATATATCAATATCGTAACGAATAGAAATAACCTTAAATAATGTATGGTTATCTCCATCTTTCCGTCTCTTATGTATAGTTACTTTTTAAACACGAAAATCGCATTCAGCATGACATGCAAGCTGTTGCCATGGTAATGAACAACCTGCTTGTTAAAGCGAATGTATCTGAGGCAAAATTACTAAATATGCAGCGCGAGTTATATATTTCTAACTCCAAACATACCAGCTTATAAAATCTTCTTCAAGGCTGTGCTGGTTGCATTTGAGGTACAGGTCATGGGGTTTCTCAGATTTCGCTTGAGACCAGTATAAGCATTCGCCTTGATAGTAGTCGTGTCTCCTTCATTGCGTATTTTTATATTTTGAATATATCCCTCCACTGCATACTGTAACCCCTTTTGCCTCGATCTGGAGGATATCGCTGAGGTATTGCTCCAAAAAAGGTCACATACCTCTTCCCGTCATGGCAATCTGTCTCGCTGGTCGTGTGTTTGACCATTTGTTTGACGGGCGTAGTAACAATAACTAGGGGGCGTAGCTTTTGCGAACGGTCAATTATTGAAGAACCGATAGGTAATTCTTCATTAACTAGCCTACTTCTTCACTACTGTTAACTACTAAGTAAGATGTGTTAACTAATCAATATGTAATAGAATTTTATGATTGTGTTAAAGGGGTCATATAATGCCATTTTTGTACAAGCTAATATGATTCTTTAGGGTCTAAATTAAAAGTTTGTAATATACTTTAATTAAAAATTTTCATTAGTATTATAAGAAAACACTTATTTTACTTGGTCAAAAACAGCTCTGTTTTCAGCACGCCGTTTCAGTGCATATGACTTTAAATGATAATGAGCTTTGCTCACCCCGCCCCTCTGTTCTGTGCGTACACCGTTTGTAACACAATAACACAATAACCATAATGCGTTGTTCATTATAAACGTGGGATTATGAATTATATTGAGAACATCGTGCATAGAAAACATGC